ACAACATCTGCCAAAAAGAAAGTAGAAAAATTCCCAATTCAAGCAGTAATATGTTTTTTTTTTTAATCGGTGTCACCCCATACAAGGTAATAAAGCCACTAAGACACTAGATGTTTGGAAGAATTAGAAACAGAAACAGTAATGAGTGGGAAGAGAAAAGAATAATCAGGAGGACAGTAGTTAGCAATTGAGACTGCATTTATATTTTCGCAGATTAAAGTTGGCTGGAAAGCAAGGAGCCGGAAGGAGTCCCATAAACGAGAAGAGCGAGAAAAAAAAAACTGTTAGCATGGAATTAAATCTTCATGAAAACTGTCTAAAAGAAAGGTTGGCCAAAACACACGTATATATATATATATATATATATATATATATATATATATATATATATATATATATATATATATATATATATACTGACCAAATATATATATATATATATATATATATATATATATATATATATATATATATATATATATATATTGATACATGTTTCATTAAATAATATAGACAACTATTGTCTATTTATTTTATGTAAATTCTTTTCATAACGTCTGATAAGTTTAATAACATAATCATTAAACGAAGAAAGAAAATCACAATATTGATCCATTTTTTTAATCAATCTAAGCTTTCGGCTTACATAAGCCATTATCAAAGATGTCAATTACTGTACAACATATTAAGCAATATACAGACAAGACATTTATGATAGTCTGTGATTGTTTACATGGATGATTTCCTAGCAACGATAAACATCCATGAGGCCAGAAGGGAGTTCCACAAGTGAGAAGTGTGTGAGAACAACCTGTTAACATAGAAATTATAGCTACATCTAGCCAGCTCAACTGTGAATTGAGGAGATCTTGCAGCCAGTCTTGTACTGCGCTCAAATTCATCTAAGTGCCATAGCGAAGAGCAATATATATATATATATATATATATATATATATATATATATTTCATAATTTAAGAATATGGTCCCATCGCTACACAGGAATGTTCCAAAAACAGAAAAATAAAAACTCTACATTTTCTGATTTTGAAATATGGTAATTCCTGCGTAGCGACGGGACCATATTTTTAAATTAGGACATTTATAAGATTTATGCTCTGTAGAATTGTATTGAGCACTGTTTTTTTTTACATAAAAATAATTAATAAGAACACCAGATTATAAATCTTACTCTTCTTGCTCATTATTTTAATATATATATATTATAAAGAGAAAGAATAGTAAGGTGTATAATCCGGTGTTCTTATTAATACTTTTATCTTTACAAAACTATGATTGATACAAATCTACAGAGCATATTATGAATTTAATTATTTAAAGATATGGTTCCATCGCTACACCGGAGTTACCACGTTTCAAAAACAGAAGCTAAAAACTTCAAATTCAATTACAGATTTAAATTAAATTAAAGTCCCTAGTTCTGTTTCATTTTCACGTGAATTTTGGAACAACTTATTTTGAAATTTACGGAGCTTTATAAGCACATGTATTTATATTAGTTTCTACGTAAAAGACCAGACGATATGCGTTGAACGGATGTCGGCATTCGTTTGAGAAAAGGCACCCCTATCCTACCTTGACTTAACCTCTTTTCGGAAGTAACTAATATGTTGATACAATAGTTGTCAGTGAAAATGAATACCCTACCGCCCCTTATTAAAATGATGTGTTTTCTTCATATCCATGGAAACAAATATTACGAATGTATATGCTTATAAATCTCCGTAAATTTCAAAATTAGTTATTCCAAAATTCGCTTGAGGATGAAATAGAACCAGCTGCTTTAATATAATTTAATTTCTATAATTGAATTGGAAGTTTTTAGCTTCTGTTTTTGAAACATGAGAACTCTTATGTAACAATGGAATCATATATATATTTTATTATATATATATATATATATATATATATATATTATATATTGTGTGTGTATTTAGGCAGCATCTTTTCATTCATACACGTTTCATTAAATAATATAGACAAGAAAAATATAGACGTTACGAAAAATTTACATAAAATAAATAGACAACACTTGTCTATATTATTTAATGAAACGTGTATGAATATATATATATATATATATATATATATATATATATATATATATATATATATATATATATTATAATTTTGTTTTCCCAGTTTTTGACTGGAAGTGATAATTCTGAGGAGGATACAAATCAAGGGAGAGCTTAATGTAGACTACAGAGCATTATAATAATAATACAATGGAGACTTTAATTATCCATTTTGTTTATAATTTTTATTTTGTGAACACCAAAATGTTCATCTCATTAGAACCAAAACATTTTTTAGCTTTTTGGTAGTGGGGATGGAAGGTGAGAGAAAGGGGTTGGGTAAAGATATGGCCAAGAGATTAGTGGTTAGTAGTAGTTGGTTTCCCCCAACCAAGACTTTACTGTACACTTTTTAGATTTTGATATTGGTTTGTATGTTACTTTGGCCGATGCTGTTTGTTGTTTTTATGCAGCATAAATCAGGTCAATTCAAATTAATTAAATGGATCATAATCTAAATAATATATATATATATATATACCAATCTGTATCAGTCAGGCTGCTTTTATATATATATATATATATATATATATATATATATATATATATATATATATATATATATGTGTGTGTGTGTGTGTGTGTGTGTGTGTGTGTGTGTGTGTGGAGAGAGAGAGAGACAGAGAGATAGGAATAGACGGAGATAGATATGGACAGAATGAGATAGACAAAAAGAGACTGAGATAGATAGATATATAGATAGATAGATAATGCTCAAAGTCGCCCACGTATTCTCGCATGTTCGCATTTTTGCATACGTTTTATGACATCACATGGCCTTTGACTCCAAGGCACTTACAAGCCTGCGTCATTGTCTTACTATGACACGGAATTCGACTCGAATATTTATTCCAAGTGGACACTTTAGAGGAGAACATTCATCTGAGAATGACCTGATATACTTTTACGAACACATGGGACGGCCATAGTCTTCCTGGTTCATCATGATAGGAACTTCGAAAATATTTATATTTTAATAAAATAAAACTTTTCTTATTTTCAGAGCACTTTACTCCTCCTCCCCCTCCTCCTCCCCCTCCTCCTCCTACCACTACTATCATTATTATTATTATTAGTGTATGTTATGTTTCCTGCTATGTATCCTGTAGATCCGGGTCTAAACTATAGTACTTCGGCATTATAAGAGAATTGTCATTTAATTGATAGCCCTTTTTCATAGTATATGGGATGCTCCTAGTAGGGCGATCTTCTGGGCATCAGTTATTATTATTATTATTATTAGTAGTAGTAGTAGTAGTAGCAAATAATTCACTGTCAAGTCTCAAGACGTCAGACGACAAGCATTTTTCGAAAGATTATTTGCTGCAAATCTAATGCAAACAAGATGTTTCTAGAAATTCTTTGGAATTAATACAAGTTCTCCAATGAGAACTGGCACAACCATGTCATGTACCTTCTTTTATTATTATTATTATTATTATTATTATTATTATTATTATTATTATTTGTGTCTGTTATGTTTCCTTCTTTGTATGCTGTAGATCTGGGTCCAAACTATAGTCCTTAGGCCTTATACGAGAATTGTCATTTAATTGATACCCCTTTTCTTAGTATTCAGGGTTCGGCAAGCTACGGCACGCGTGGCACACGTGGCACACACATCAAGCAATTTCCAATGGCACGCCGTCGCAAATGACATCACGTAGTCCGAACCAATAACTACTACAACACAAAGAAGATATTTAACTATTTCAATTTTAATATATACTAAAGTATATATACTTTATATTACTATATAAAATATATTGTAGAACAGGTATGTTGACGTATGCTGTTGGCACAATGAAGGATTTTAAAACCTTAAATTGGCACATAATTAGCAAAAGGTTGCCGACCCATAGTATAAGGGGGTTTCTTAGTAGGGAGATCTTCTAGGCAACTTGTATGTTGATGTTACTTGGGACACTGTTAGTAAAATTGTCCATTCCTTTTCTCACAAGGCCCAATGCTCCGATTACTATTGGTACCGTCTCAGTCTTCATTCCCCACGTCATGTTAATCTCGATCTCCAGGTCTTGTATTTGGACAATATATTATTAGTAGTAGTAGTAGTAGCAGAAGCAGCAGCAGTAGTAGTAGTAGTAGTGGTGGTGGTGGTGGTGGTGGTGTTGGATACCGTATTTTAATTTGCTTTTAAGGCAAATAGATTCTTCGTAGCGGAGTGTTCAAAGCACGCACGCCAGATAAGACGTTAGGTCTTTCTGTAAAAAGCAACACAGGTTCGAATCCTGTCGGAGGCACATTTTCTTTAAGTTTTCTGCCAATAGTTGGAATAAATATTATTTAAAATAAAACGGAGCGTCTACTAAAATACGGGTGTTCACTAAAGATAACAACTGAAATAATATAAATATGTCGACTTAACAAAATAAGAATCCATCAATTCAAGGCCTAAAACATCATCCCAAAATTGACGGAGAGACAAAGAAAGTGTCTATAAGACATTCTGTCCGCCGATTCATAATAATCTATTGCTTCCAATGCCTGCAACGCATACCCAAAACGATGCAAGATTTTAGAAGATAATTAGTGTACCGCTTCAGAGTAATAATTTCTAATTTTTCCTTTATCATCAAAAATTATCTTAAATCACTATTTTGTTCGAGTAATAAATAGATTTCATGATAGACGAAAGGAAGAAATTCTGTCTATATTCCTGAGATGAGGTGTTATGTACACAATTTACATTATTCAGACTACTGTTCTCATCTTTGTTGCCATATTTATTTCAACGTTTCGGCCGTTGTACGCTCCGGCCTTCTTATTAAAAATGTTGAACTGACTCTTTTATTTCGCTCACTGGGGTAGACTGTTCTAGTTCCACGTGCCATGTCTAATGGATGTCAGTTATCAGTTATCTCCTGTTAATTCCCCTCACCAAGTTCTCCATTGCCCTAACTGTCTTTTTTTTCTTTCTTTTTTTCTTTTTTTCTTCTTTTTTTTTCTTTCTTTCTTCTTTTTCTTTCTTTCTTTCTTTCTTTTTTTTTCTTTCTTTCTTTCTTTTTTCTTTTCCGAATAATGTAAATTGTGACGAAGAAATCGTTCAGCATTCACTGCCATATAAGGGGATTGATATGGCAAAGTACTACATTTGTTCTTTGCTTTGTTTCTATAGAATTTTTTCCTGTTTCTTAATACTTTGCTTAGCATTTGGTAAACATCTTACTCTATCCGAGTCTGCCTCCAGATTTCGCTGTCATAGTTTCCATCATCTGTTTAAAAAGAAAAAAAAATCTTCCCACGGATTAAATTTAATTGCCCACTTCTTGAAAGGATAACGGAAGCTGTTCCACCCATGATGCTTCAGTTGTGTTTGTAGCTTTTGATGACTAAAGTCCTGCGTATGACCCACGCAACATTCCACTTATAGGACATAGAAGAGCACCCCTTAGAGACGTGTTCTGTCCTGTAATACGTAGATGCTCAATGCGTGACCCCCTTAAATGTCGTAATTTGCAACACCGGTTCTTATACAATCAACGAAGTTAAGCAACGTCGAGCCTGGCCAGTCAATGGGTGACCGCTTGGGAATATCAAGTGCTGTAAGTTTGGATGTGTTGGTGGTGCAATGGATAATGGCTCGGAATTGGGGCACGGCTCGCCGAGTTTCGATTCCAGTTAGGGGCAGTTATATTCATTTATGCGCAAATATTGTTGGGAAAGGCATGAATCCATTCCTTCTCCCTCAACTATGGGTTAAGTTAGTAAGACGTGTGTCACTATAATATTATTATGTGAAAAATAAAATAAAAATTGCGTACAAAATATTTGAAATTCGGCATTAAATGACCCATGGAGGTGTTGATACAAAAAAAACACATCTCGGACTCATCGACCATATTTTTGTTCTTTCTTGTCTTATAGACGAATGACTATAATCACTTGACTGTATCCCTTTTGCTTGCATGAGAAGGCACGGTGAAGTAATGGATATCGGCTTGGATTGAGAAATCGGAGAGCCGAGTTCGAATTCCAGTCGGATCCATTACTTTCACTTACGTGCTAATACCCTTGGGAAAGGTGTGAATCCTCTTCTTCTCCCTCCAGCTATGGGTAAATAAGAGGACAGACTAGATTCTATAGCCATGGATGGCAACTGGTCTAGGAGAAGGACAACTCTGAATTCAAAACCTGTGGAGAGTCGTTTGGGGACCTTGTGGCACGTAGTGCACCAGGTCTATGTATTCGGCCCTTCAAAAAGTGTGGATGGTCCTGCACGAAACCTTTACCACTATAATCAAATCTCATGTGCTATACATGCAGGTTTGGGGACCGCTTGTGAATTCCAAATTCCCATGAAACTCCAATATTGGAGCCGGCTCAACCCACCCCGGGTGAATGGAGCCGGCTCAACCCACCCCGGGTGAAAGTACAAGTAGTAAGTTTTGCTTACGTACACTATTCATGAACGTTTGCTTTATTATTGTTGCTTTGCCTAATTTTTCAATCATTTCACACCGTGCAAGGCGATAATGCCACTGAGACGCAAGGTCTTACTGGAAGTCAAAGAAAATGAGAAAATTTTAGAAGGAACCGGAAACCAAATCCTGAGCAGGAAACAAGGGATGAACCCCGAATTAAGGTTTATTTCCTTAGTATTATTTTGCTCTGTTCTTTTTGCTTATTGTCTGTCGAGTGATCAGACCATTCGCTTTCTGACCATGAGACCAAGGGTTCGAATCTCACCAAGGTTGATTTATCACCAAGGAGACTTCCTGATGTTATCGATCTGGAGGAGGAGAGGCGATCCCAACGTGCGGAACCTTTGGAAAGTGCCTGAAAACCATACAACGGGTTGACCCAAGCCTTGTGAATGAAATTGGGTAGACGATACCCTTGGGGGCCGTCGATAGCTGTGCTAGCACGAAGTCACAAGTCATCGTGACCGAGGGTTTGTATGTGCTGGTGTTGTTCAGATTGTTGATCATGCTAGATAGCACGCCCTCTTCCAGAAACTGTAACTAAGGTCTGCTAAGCATAGATGTAGTATAAACCACAGGTTGGCTCTGTGGGTGTTGAATAAACATAAATCTGCCTGAGCGTGCGTCTGCATGAGGGATTGGTTAGCCGCCCTAGTAAACGGGTATGCTCGAATACGAGTGGCCAGCTATTATTATTATTATTATTGTCTGCTGGAAACTTTGAAAATAACCGTTGCCAATTATACAATACACACATTGTCTTTATAATCTTGATTGCCGTAAAATGTTTATCTGACAGTCAGGAGTACGCATGTGCGCATGACCGAACGGCCGATATAGGAAGGCAGTACGCAGAAGAATGGTAAAATAGATTTCTAAAAAAATTAATAGAAAGAACTTTTTTCGCGAATTCTAAAACACATTCCGAGAATGAATAGAAGCAGACATTTTGATACCACGACTTCTCGAGACAGCAAATCCGTATTTGGCTCAACCACTTGACACTGCTGGCGCCAATTCAATACTTCACTGGGATGACGTCATACATTGAGAGAAGAGCATCCTTCCATTTCTATTTTAAAGCCATATCCTGGTAAGACGTAAGCGATAACCGCTTTATAACCCCGAGGTTTCAAGCTTAAAGTACTTGGTATTCGCAAGCGGTCACCCATCTAGGCAATGACCAGGCTCGACGTTGCTTAACTTCATTCATATTACGGGAACCAGTATTTCAACGTGACGTGGCCTTAACACCTTCATACCACCCAAGCATCTAAGCTTACAGCACCTGGTATTCGCAAGTGGTCACCCATCTAGCCCCTGACCAGACTCCACATTGCTTAACTTCGTTGACCTTACGGGAACCAGTATTTCAACTTGACGTGGCTGCAAGTCATTTATAGGCGCACAGAACAGACAGCATCTGGTAGTCTCAAGTGGTCACCCATCTAAGTAATGACGTTGCTTAACTTCGTTGATCTTACCGGAACCGGTATTTCATCGTGGCGTGTCCTTAATACCTTTATACTACCCGAGCATCCAAGCTTACAGCACCTAGTATTTGCAAACGGTCACCCATCTAGCCACTGACCAGGCTCTACATTGCTTAACTCCGTTGACCTTACGGGCTGCTTGATGTGGCTGAAATCGATTTGTACGCGCACAGCACAGTTGACAGCATCTGGTAGTCTCAGGTGGTCACCCATCTATGTACTGATGTTGCTTAACTTACGTTAACCAGCATTTCAACACCTTTATACCGTCCAAGAATCCAAGCTTACAGCACCTGGTATTCATAAACGGTCACCCATCTAGACAATGACCAGGCTTCACGTTGCTTAACTTCGGTGATCTTACGAGAACCGGTGTTTCAACTTGACGTGAATGTAAGCCTTTTACAGCTCCTGGTCACTATTGGTCACTCATCTAAGTAGCTAATGTTGCTTAATTTCGGTGATCGTAAGATCACCGGTGACACCGAGATGAAGTCCCCTTTTATTAGTTGGGATGAAATCCCAGCATGCATCTTTAAGATTTGTTTATGCATTTGGCTAGGGGGGGGAGGTTTTTAGCGGTCATTCCATTTTGGATTGTAACCAACTCAAATTTCTGTACATCGCAAGGTCCATTGAGAATCCAAAAATATGAAACTAGAAAATCGTAAAGAAATATAAACAAAATAAAAAATGCCGTATATTTCCGCGTATAAGACGACCTTTAAATCCCAAAAAAACACCCTTAAAATTACGGGTGTTCTGTAAAAGAAACCTTAAATTCTGGGTGATATTGGTCGGTAGGCTAACCTCAGCGTATTTACGATAACCAATAATGTACATGAAAAGATTCACATTATCAAATAAACTGATAATAAAAGTATTAAAACCATTTCTACCTTATATATTACTGACATGACATAATAATAAATTGCCTATTCGAAGAATAATTCCATATCAATGGCATCAACTTGTATCCAAGCTCAGCTGAGGAAATGGAAACATCGAGTTATGATTGCGTTCACAGCAATCTTTATCTTTCGTTAAACTTTCAATAATCATCATAGCAGTGTTAATTACGACAGTAATAACATTTAAAATAACATAACATTCATTTCTCATTAAAAAGTATTGTTTGGATGTTAAATAATAATAATAAAATTTAGAATTACATACAAACTTTATTTTTCAAATAAAAATCCTTAAAATGCATTTAAAATCTTCAGGATGTTATAAATCTATTTTCTATCAAGTTATCAATATTAATAAAACAACCCTATCGTACATTTTCGTACTTTTACTAACGATATTTTTGGATTGTCGATGAAGTATAAGTAAATGGCCATTAGCACACCAGGCTGTTTGTAAATGTTATGAAAAAGAAGAGTAAAAAGAAGAAAAATCAGTCTTCGCAAGAGATCACGTGATTAAACGAGATACAAAACAATGGATTCCCTTTTAGGGGACACGTGTTGGAAAAACGTGATATAAAATTGGTTTTATCATTTCGTTTATTTTGAATCTCTAGGGATACAATAAGTAACAACATTTCCAATCACATCATGTTTATAAAATCCAGGGATCAGCAGATATTTCCCAGAGGACCTGATAACAGAATGACGAGTGTTGGCCGGATAACCATTTTGCTCAATACAATACACTGAATACACAAGAAACAAAGACAATAAACATATTTATTTACCAAAAAGTTATCAAAGAAGGCGACATTAGCAATAAAATAGTTAAATATAATTTCACTATAAAAATGTATTACTGGTTATTTTACTATAAAAATGTATTGTTGGTCATTTTACTATAAAAATGTAATACTGGTCATTTTAATATAAAAATGTATTACTAAACATTTCAATATAAAAATGAATTACTGGTCATTTTATTATAGAATTTGTATTGCTGGTCATTTCACTATAAGAACGTATTACTGGTCATTTTATTATAGGAATGTATTACTGGTCATTTTACTATAAAATGTATTACTGGTCTTTTTATTATAAAAATGTATTGCTGATCATTTCAATATAAAAATGAATTACTGGTCATTATTGGAATGTATTGCTGGTCATTTTACTATAAAAATGTATTGCTGGTCATTTTACTATAAAAATGTATTGCTGGTCATTTTACTATAAAAATGTATTACTGGTCATTTCACTATAGAAATGTATTGCTGGTCATTTTACTATAGAAATGTATTGCTGGTAATTTTACTATAAAAATGTATTGCTGGTCATTTTACTATATAAATGTATTACTGGTCATCTAACTATAGGAATGTATTACTAGTCATCTAACTATAGAAATGTATTGCCTTTTGATTTCACTATATAAATGTATTACTGGTCATCTTACTATAAAAATGTATTACTAGTCATTTTACTATAGAAATGTATTGCCTTCTCATTTCCCTATATAAATGTATTACTGGTCATTTTACTATAGGAATGTATTGCTGGTCATTTTACGATAAAAATGAATTACTGGTCATTTTACTATAGTAATTTATTACTGGTCATTTGACTATAAAAATGAATTACTAGTCATTTTATTATAGAAATTTGTATTGCTGGTCATTTCACTATAAAATGTATTACTGGTCATTTTACTATAGAAATGTATTACTGGTCATTTTATTATAGAAATATATTGCTTGTTGTTTTAATATAGAAATGTATTGCTGGTCATTTTACTATAAAATGTATTACTGGTCACTTTACTATAGAAATATATATTTTGGTCATTTCAATATAAAAATGTATTACTAGTCATTTTATTATAGCAATGTGTTGTTGGTTATTTCAATGTAAATATATTACTGCTCATTTTACTATAGAAATGTATTACTGGTCATTTCAATATAAAACTGTATTTCTGGTCATTTTACTATAGAAATATTTTCGAATATTTTTTATATTATTTTAACATTTAATGTCCTCTGGGATAGCCCAATCCAAATATTTCTTGCAGACGTCCCCCCTCTATGGCTTTCGGGAAATACCGTTTCAATGATTTCTGTCAATTGAAAATATTTTTAAGAATTTTCATTTGTCGCTTAGAGATCTTCGTCATTTTGACGTCTTTTGCTTATCTTTTTATTCTATTTCATTTCATTTTATGTTTAATATCTCTGACCATCAACGTAAATTTCTTTTTAAAATACGGAAGTGAGATATAAATCTTCTTCGCCTATTTCCGACTTATAGAATACGTCTCAAATGCCATGAAACTATTTTCAAAATGGCGGAAGAGTGCAAAGTTTATTTTTGTGTCAATTCGCACTCAAGTCTAACAATGGGTTTGGCCCTTCACAGGAAAAAGAAACGGCATATTTTTAACGGAGATTTCTTGCGAATTCGACACTTCGGCGACGAATATGGAAACAGCTTATAAGAAAATGACATCACCTCCTACGCTGACCATCCTACGTGACTCTTGATGCCGTATTTTCTAACATTCCTGTGGTCTCCCTATAAATCTGTATCTATCTATATACATACAAATATATATATATATATAAATGAGGAATTAGCAGAACGTAATTCAGAACGCGTAAAGCTTGCATCTCATTTGAACAACCAAGCTGTTCTAAATTTTTGCTATCTTCATATTCATTTGTCCCCAAACTTACCTGATGGAGAAATCATCTTACCTTTCTTTGCTTCTATTTATTTCCGTAAGTAGATATTTTCATATTTTATACGCAATTGCCGTAGGGTTGGGTGGGCCTAATTGAGGGTGTGGGGTAGTGGTTTGTGACCTTCGTTATATTACCAACGTCTTACTGTCTCCAGTTTTCTAAGTCGCATACTGTTTTTTTTTTCCTTTTTTTGCTGACAACCCTATATTCAACCTTTTGTAATGAATTGATGAAACCCATCAAATCACCCTGCTAATTTTGTGTTCCTGTTAATGTAAATAAAAATCACAGAATAAAATGGACAAAGATTATCAAAATTATTCGTTACTATTGAAAATTTCCAATGAATCCTATTTCTTTACTTGAGGATTGAAAAATGATCATGGCGAGTTCCACGAAAATAAAATATCCGTAGAAATTTCCCTACCGCATCGTGAAATATTTGAGCTGTTTATTTTGCCATTGGGAGACCTGACTTTCGCTTTCCGTAAGACATATTCAAAAACATTATTATTATTATTATTATTATTATTATTATTATTATTATTATTATTATTATTATTGTTGTTGTTGTTATTTTCATTTCCTTTGATTGCTGGCGTTTACACATTTCTTTCCGGGTCCCGCCTAGGGACCTAAGGTTAGAAATGGCATCATGACACTTTCCACTGACAAAAAAAAAGAATAAAAAATATTAAAATATTTTACATAAATAAAGCCCTTCGTAAAGTGTGGGCTGTAATTGTGAGAAACTTTTTTGTATCTCCTTGAGACATGGGCTTCTAGGAATCCCTTCAATTTGTCTACTGGAATCTTTTCGAACCAGTCCTAGGGTTCCAACTACAACAGCGATTGTTGATGTTTCTATGTGCCACATTTTTGAGATTTCTATTTCAAGGTCCTTGTATTTTGACAGCTTTTTGAATATCTTCAAAGATACATTGCAGTCAGCAGGGACTGCCATATCAATAAGGAGGCACCGTTTTTGTTTGTGGTCTTTAATAACAATATCTGGGCGGTTGGCTTTGATTGTTCTGTCAGTGTGTATTGTGTAGTCCCATAGAATTGTAACAGGTCCTATCTCCGTAACCGGGTCTGGGTGGTGTTCATACCAGTTTCTTTCAGTTTCCTTCCCGTAGAAGTTGCAGATTTTCCAGTACAGAATTATTATTATTATTATTATTATTATTATTATTATTATTATTATTATTATTCCTTATGATTTCTAGTGTATACTCATTTCTTTCCGGGTCCCAATCAGAGAGCTAAGTTCAGAAATGGCATCATGATATTTTATTATTATTATTATTATTATTATTATTATTATTATTATTATTATTTCCTTTGATTTCTGATGTGTACTCATTCCTTTCCGGGCCCCGCCAAGGGATCTAATGTTAGAAATGGCATCATGAAAATCACTGAGCATTTTTTGAGAAAAAAAATGCACATTTTTCATAGATAAAGCCAGTCGTAATATGTGGGCTGTACTTGTATTTCTTTAACGCATGGATTACCAGAAATTCCTTCAATGAGTCTATTGGAACCTTTTCCGAACAATCCGAAAACTCCAACTAAAACTGGAATTTTTGATGTCCTCATATGCCACAATTTTGAGATTTCGATTTCAAGGTCCTTGTATTTTGATACCTTTTTGAAGATCTTCAAAGATACATTGCAGTCTGTAGGGACTGCCATATCAATAAGGAGACACATTTCGTTTTTACGGTTTCTGACCACGATTTCTGGGCGATTAGCTGTGATTGTTCTGCCTGTGTGTATTGTAAAATCACATAAAATTGTTACAGGTCTTATCTCTGTAACCAAGTTTCCTTTCCGTAAAAGTTGCCGATTTTCCAGTGCAAATATTGGCCCACTCTGTCATACCGGGTTTTATATTCAGTGGCTGCCAATACCTTGCAACCCGATACAAGATGATCAATTGTTTGTGGATATTTATCACAGAATCTGCATTTGACGCTAACACAATATTTTAATATATGTGCTTGATAATTTCTAGTTAACAAGCATTTGTCCTATGCACAAGAATTAGCTTTTAACCCTGCGCTACGTAGCTATTGACAGGTACGGGTTTTTTCTATATCTGCTTGTTTGATACGGGCAGAGTATTGACCGTGAAGCGGTTTATCTTCACATCGTTTCTGTATCTGATTGGTTGCATTTGTTTTTGTTTTCTTTTTTAAGTATTTTACAGCTTCAGCCGGTGTATTAGACTATTATTATTATTATTATTATTATTATTATTATTATTATTTTCTTTGATTTCTGGCGTTTACACATTTCTTTCCGGGTCCCACCCAGGGACCTAAGGTTAGAAATGGCATCATGACACTTTCCACTAACAAAAAAAAAAGACTACATAGATAAAGCCCTTCGTAAAGTGTGGGCTGTACTTGTCAGAAAATTTTTTTGTATCTCCTTAAGGCATGGACTTCCAGGAATCCCTTCAATTAGTCTACTGCAATCTTTTCCAACCAGTCCTAGGGCTCCAACTACAACAGGGATTGTTGATGTTCCCATATGCCACATTTTTGAGATTTATATTTCAAGGTCCTTGTATTTTGACAGCGTTTTGAATATCTTCAAAGATACATTGCAGTCAGCAGGGACTGCCATATCAATAAGGAGGCACCTTTTTTATGTGTGATCTCTAATAACAATGTCTGGGCGGTTGGCTTTGATTGTTCTGTCAGTGTGTATTGTGTAGTCCCATAGAATTGTAACAGGTCCTATCTCCGTAACCGGGTCTGGGTGGTGTTCATACCAGTTTCTTTCAGTTTCCTTCCCGTAGAAGTTGCAGATTTCCCAGTGCAGATATTGGCCCACTCTGTCATGTCGGGTTTTATATTCAGTGGGTGCCAACACCGTACAACCTGATACAAGATGATGAATCGTTTCTGGATATTTATCACTTGTTATTATTATTATTATTATTATTATTATTATTATTATTATTATTCGGCCATTCCCTCATTTTCTGATCTATCTTTAGAAGGCACGTTTTGTTTAGAAAGTCCGGTTCATTTTTCGGGTTGGGGTTGGTGTGTTGGGGTCATGTCTTGTTTAAATTTAAATAATTTACGATTCAAATTTAAATGAGGAAAACTTTGTGTGGAATTTCCTATAATGCAGGAAATATCGTATAAGGAAATTTCTCTGAAAGCCGAGGGCTTCAACCAGGATATTCGAAGCCGGAGAAAACCCCCATCACACACACACACATTCCTATTGATTTATATTTAAAGCAATTTGCGGTTATACATTCTTCTTCTTCTTTCACGTCACACATTCTCTCTATCTCAGTTTCCAGCTCCCCCCTCTTTCATCAAATGCTTACGCTAAACCAAACTCTCTCTCTCTCTTTTATCTCTCTCTCTCTTTTTCTCTTTCCCTCTTCTCACAATGTGCAATCATTTCGTTTCTTCCAGACCCCACAACTATTTCCCATCAGACATCTTTTACAAATTTACGTGAGGTCACATTTTGTTCGTGTGTCCCCCACATTACATCCGTAGAACAAAACGCCCGAACTTGTTATATCGTAGGTATTTATACGCACGCCCACGTCGCAGTAAAGTGTGACACAAGGTCGGATTTTAATGTGGGATTACTCAAGCCCTCTCGGCACAATCTATTTTCCTCCCTGTCGGATGGGGTTTCAGAATACGAATGAGACGTGCTGGGTAACACGATAAACTACGTGTCCTGGGTAAGATGATAAACTACATCCAGCAGCAAGACCTCTGATCAGGAGGTTTTGAGGAGCATGGAACCACCTCTTAATTGCTGGTGTTCCCAGGTCCACCCGGATCCTGGGTGGCAGCATCGGTTAGGGTCCCAACTATGTGCAAATTATTATCAGCAATACATTTTTAAAGAAAAAATATTACCAGCAATACATTTCCGGGAAAAATATTACCAGCAATAAAAATCTTGTCGGCATTAGATAACTGTTGTAGAGTAGTTTACACAGTGGAGGCTTGCATTTCACTAAGTCGGTCCTAAATTAGGTCCGACGTACAAAACGTTAGGAACTTGCAATAATCGTTGATGACGCAGCAATCTAGTTGTAATGGTTGATACTTTAATGTCCGACATCGACTGACTCACCAACTCACTCTGAGCGCCCTGGAGACTGCTACTACTATTACTACTTATTATCTGTGGGAGAGTCTATTTACAATAGAATAGGTATGATCTAGTATAACAATAACCCACTGAGGTTTGATATGCCGTAAAAAAAAATCAAACCAAAAAAGACTGCTGAGATTGAGCAAATATTTTTTAACAGTACTTAAAAGTCTTCTAGAAATTTCTTAAAACGCACACAGGCGTTACCATTAATTTCAAAGGAAAATCCATCTATATCTATAATTCTCAAAATGTGTGTATGTATGTGTGTCTGTGATCGGATGTTGTTTATGCGTTTCCACAGTTTCCATCCAACTTCGATGAATTTTTTTTTTTGTTTGATAGATAATTCTTCAGTATCTTGAAGGTAAAAAATCGAAAAAACTGATTTTTTTTACACTTTGCGCAAAAATCAAAGGCAAAGTTTTATGTCTGTAAAAAACAGCGTGCAATCCATTTAGAGAGTTGAAATCTAATGCAAAAGATTATTAGAATTATAAAATAAAATTATTGTATATTATTATGATGGTCCATGAAAGAGATTCCTTCCTTACAAGATTGAGAACGCAAAAACGGACCTTTCCAGCACCCCCCCTTCAAATTGTTACCACCAACCTTTTATTGTCTTCTTTCCTTGATAGTGTTTTTTTCCTCATATTTTCTAATACTCAGTAACCCTTTGCATCTTAGTGGCTTTATCGCCTTGCTGGGGGTGAAATGATTAAAAGATATTAATTTTAATTTATTTAATTTTAATTTTAATTAAATTCTTACTCTCTTTCTTCATTTACAGAGTTTGGTGCTGGGATCCAATGGAAGTAAGTTCCTTTTATCTTTTTTTAATTCTCTACATACAATGTGTGAAAGCATGTGCGATACCTAGCCCTCGTCAGCCGCCAACAAGGGGAGGTAACGCAGTTTAGGTGGCTAAGGTGGTACTGCCACCCTTGGCGCCATCAGCAGCTTTTGCCACCGAACAGGGTATTGTTTTTGCATATGTTTTGTTTAAGCATTTCACTCCAAGCAAGATGAGAAGCCACTAGCACGCAAGGGGTTACAGAGAGTTGGAGCGAGAGCAGATAGGAGTGATAGAGGAAAGGATGAAGAGAAGGATAGGAGATAGATCAAGGCATCTGGAGACGTCAATTGACATTACATTTGAATAGTTGGAGATTATAGCTATCAGGGAAACAAGAAAAGGGAAGGGAGTTCCACAGGCGAGAAGTGCGAGACATTGGAGTAGAAGAGACGGCTATATTTAAAAGTTTCAACAGTGAAAGGGTGAGAGCGAGATGCCAGCCTAGTTGAACCCTTAAATTCACGAAGTCTGGGAACCAGCGAAAGCAGCTCATCGGAGCAGTTACCGTGAAAGTATTTGTAAAAAAGACAGAGGGAGGCGACGGCACGTCTGTGAGAGAGAGACTGCAGACGAGATGTCAGATCAGGACCAATTACATATCATATCCGACGTATCAGTCTCTTACGGTTTCTTTTTACAACTGCAAATTTCTTTCAATGGTGTGTTAAAACAAACAATGCGCTCGTAGTGACCGTCATTAATGTTTCATGGCAGAAGTAGCAGTGTGTTGCGAGCATGGTTTTATTTAACTTTATTTATTTGGGATTTTGACCAGATATAACTCGATGTCTGTTGAGCTGTGGTCTGGAGGCGATGTGAAGAACTCTTCAGGCTCCGGCCAGTGATGCCCAAAACTAACAAAAACCTTTAACTTATAAACTATAAAATCAGCTTTAAATTTTTTTCTCAACCTACTACTGTTTTACCACAAGTTCTATCGGATTTTCCGTGGCAGATATTCAAATGAGGTACATTCTTTATTTTCACCAATTGATACCTTCACAGCTATAGCCTACGAACCGAGGGTGCAATTGGAAACGATGTAACGTTGTTGTGGAGAGGTTCAATTCCTGCGCGCGATGGAGAATAGAGATGTCTGGATTTCGGCCACATTCTCGTGTACTGCAGCAATGTTTTCAGCTGAACGGCGTAAACAAGAACGCAATGGTGTTTTCACGTCTGCCACCGACCCAGTTTGTTTGAATTTCCGAACAATTTTTCCAATTGCATTCTCGGTTGATCGATTATGTTGACCAAAAAATCGCGAAGTGCATTCCTGTTTGAACGTCCATTTTTGTAATCGGCTTTGACAACTTTAACACGTTTTTTGATTGTTAATCTTTCCATGGTTGAAATTGCCAAAGACTAAGAAACATGGCGGGTAACCAAGGCCAACACCCACAAACCTCAGGCACTTACCAACCGATGTCTCAGGAATTATTTATCTCATCCTTCAGCTGTTGAATTGTTGTTGGCTTGTTGGCATAGACATTACTTTTGAGATGACGCCAAAGGAAGAAATCTGAAGGCGTCAAGTTGCGCGATTGTTGTGGTCAACTGACTTCGCTGTTTCGAGAGATGGCGTGATCTGGGAACTTTTCATTGCATTTCTGTTTGAACGTCCATTTTCGTAATTTGCTTCGATAACTTTAACACGTTGTTTGATTGTTAATCTTTCCATGATTGAAATTGCCAAAGACTTAAGTTGTTAAATCTGAAAGAAAAAAATCATTAGACGCTTAAAATTAATTCACATTTAAAATCGGTCCAAGTTATTTGAACACCCTTTAAAATGATAGTAGGTCATATCCTTGCGGTTTATGTCACAAGCTAGTTTTTAAGTGAGTACATTGTTAGTCTACTGCACAATTCCCAGCCTGGAGGACCAGGGTGTGTCTTTCGTCTGGCTCTTACCCCACAGACCTATTGAGCATGGTTGAACATAGTCCTGATGGTCGTTGAAGCACGCAAGCCGTCGTACTACGTCAAGGCGACACACCTTCAAGAGCAAAATCAAGTCGGTCCCACTTTAAGGCGAAGAAACCTGACGGGTAACAAAGGCCAACACCCACAAACTTCAGATATTTACCAACCAATGTCTCAGGAACATCCTTAGTGGCCGGAAGTCGTCTCCATCGACCAATTGTGAGACAGGTCCAGACAAGCCCCAATCGAGATTAACAATCTGAGGAAAAATTAGAAATCGATTACACCTTGTCACTCCAGGGGGTCTAAAACTGACCGTATGGTGAAAGAAAGGAAACTAAAATGGTTGTTTCAATTAATTTGCACAAGGGTGTATTTTAATAATTTATGATTCTTTTGACCTTTTTTCCAGGAGAAACATCTGATGGCCATTCGATGAATATAGCATGTTGGAGAAATCCAGTTGATATTGTGATTGTTCTTGATTCTTCGAGGAGTATCTGGGCGCTTGATTTCAAGAAACAGTTAGAGTTCGTCAAAAATTTAGTGGACCAACTGGATGTCGGTATGGGAGCAACACAGGTAAGATGTAACGCTTAATTTATTTCGCCCCACCTCTCTCGCAATCCCCGAATGATTGTATACCGCCATTTTACACTTCTCAGTTCGTAGAGCAATCCTCGCTATCCGTACCCCGATTTTCCGGACTTCGATCATCCGTACCTCGATTTTCCGGACGTCGATCGTCCGTGCCTCGATTTTCCGGACTTCGATTATCCGGACGGGGTAATGAAAAATTGAGATCATTTTACATTTCTAAGTACATTGCTTCTTTGATTATCCATAACTCGATTATCCGCAAGAGTGAAAAGACAAGATTGGAATCATTGTACATTTTTTTCTAGAACAGCTCTCCCTTGATTCACCGCGTCTAGATTATCCGGAATTCGATTATTCAGACATAAACATTGTGCATTTCTTGGTATAGATCTTTCTTCATTGTCCGTACCTTGATGGAATACTGCTGCCATATATGGTCTGGTTACCCCCAACCCCCGCTGTTCATCTCGACCTTCTTGACAAAATCCAAAGACGGATATGCAATGTGATAGGTCCTGTCCTGGCATCTCGACTCCAAACGCGTTCGGATGAAAACTGTGGAAACACATAAACAATATCCGATCACACACACACACACACACATTTTGAGAATTATAGATATAGATAATATTATTGTAATAATTTAAAATATTTATTTTTATTAAAGTTTTTATGGAAGATATATATCCAAGAACAGATGGTAAATAGTAAAACGTTGCTGAAAGTTATAATGGACAGGAAGTAGTGGAGAGCCATTGTCACCAACAATTTGGACTCAAACCGGAACTGAAGAATTATCTATCAAACAAAACAATTAATCGAAATCGGATGAAAACTAGAAACACATTAACAACATTCGATCACACACACACACACACACACACACACACACAAATACGCACATACACATACACACATACACATACTTGCACACACACATTTTGAGAATTACAGGTATAGATTATTGTTATTTGTTTGTTTATTTCATTTTATTTTCTTTTTTCCGTAGACCAGAGTGGGCGTCATGTCGTTTAGCAACTGGGCCCAAATTGAAATCAACCTTTACGAATCGACAGAAAAAGAAGAACTAAAAAGAAAAATCGACAATATCCGACAACTTCAAGCCAATACAAACACGGGCGATGCGCTGCGTCTTTTAAGAAACGAAGCCTTTAAGTTAGAACAGGGCTCAAGACCTTGGGTCCGGCATATTGCTCTCATACTAACCGATGGCGAGTCTCAGAACAAAACAACAACGCAATTTGAGGCCCGAGCTTGTAAGGATTCTAAAATTGAGCTCTTTGCCATCGGGATTGGGGAGAGTGTCAGCTACCGCGAACTGAGAGGCATTGCTAGTAATCCCAAGAGCAAATACTTTATTCTCACCTCGGATTATGATGCTCTGGATCGTATTCGACACGACGTGGTGAAAAAAACCTGCCAACCAGGTAGGTTTAAAAAGCTTAATATAATATTGTGGTTATTATGTCAAATTCTGTTCATCTTTTTTTTAATTGAATTTTAAAATGTTAAAATAATTGCATGTTTTCTTATTTATTCGAAAATTCTACCATATATATATATATGTGTGTGTGTGTGTGTGAAAAATATGAAAAAATAGGAAAGAACTCGTTAGGTAAATAATCCAAAGTTCTGTAGTATTTTTGTTATTATTTTTAAAAATAGTGCTCGATACAAAAAAGTAGAGTATATATATATATATATATATATATATATATATATATATATATATATATATACAACTATAGTTAAACATGAAAACAATAAACAAAAAGCTATGTACATAAAACAATTGAAACCTAACCTGAACAAAATAAACTATGAAATCTCCACAAATATTCTTAAATGCCTATAATTGATAACACAAGCCATTGGTTTATACCAACGGCTTCCCATACTTAATACTTCTCGTTTTCACTCTCGTGTGGTCATGTGTGACGTCATGAGCTACGACGCGATTTTCGCGTCCGCGTCTCGTATACACGAATTTGTCGTTGCTTGGAAATCTTTCATGCAACAAAAACAGACTATCATTATTGTTTTGTCCGTGTATTGTTTAATATATTGAAATGTAATTGTGATCTTTGATAATCTTCGGTGATCGTACGGGAAGCGGTGTATTTGATATGGCCGTAAGACCTGTATACTACGCTTACATCCAAGCTTAATGCACTTGGTATTCCCAAGCGGGCACCCATCTAGGTACTAACCAGGCTCGACGTTGCTTAACTTCGTGATCGTACGTTCAATTTGATATGGCCGTAAGATAAAGCGAATCCAGTTCTCTCAGTCAATAGCATATTTTTCTAAAAATAAATAAGCTTAAATTAACCTTTATCCTTGCCGTAGATTTTTCCGCCTGATGCCAATTCAGCCTGGTTTCGATCTTAGCTAGAGTGTAGCCACGCTGATGAGCTGTGATCCAGCGTAACAGTCTGTCTGTGGATGACAATATATATATATATATATATATATATATGATGACAATATATCTGTGTATATGATGAAAATATATATATATGGCGATATGGATAACAATATATATATATATATATATATATATATATATATATATATATATATATATTGTGTATATTTAGGCAGCAATTTTCATTAATGCATCTTTCATTAAATAATATAGACAAGTTTTGTGTATTTTATTCGAAAATATGAACGAAATTTACTTAAAATAAATAGACAAAACTTGTCTATATTATATAATGAAACATGCATTAATATATATTTATATATATATATATATATATATATATATATATATATATATATAAATCGGCCTGATGATTGCATCCAGCATGAAACAGCCTGTCACCTCTGAGTGTTGACTTCAAAGTTTACTTTTATATTTATATTTACATTCGCTCTTTCACTGATATAGAGCACTATAAATATAGCACACCTTAAAACTATATTTCTTCATATATATATATATATATATATATATATATATATATATATATAGTGTAAAGTATCTGAATAAATAAGAAAAATATATATGTGTCTGTGTGTTTTCCGAAATAACTGCTTTGAGGTAGAAATACGTCTAACTTTTTTTTTTTTCATTTTTTAACAGTCACGCCTAAACCAACAACCACCCTCAGTACACGTGCCTCGACCACAACAATGACCACATCGACCACGCAGACCACGCCGCCCATGCAAACTATGCCAAAGGAAAATCCCATTGCTGAAGAAGGTAAGACTATTACACTATTTACATTATTCGGATTTTGAGAAATCTTATCAAAGAGAAATATTCGCTCTCAATTATATTTTAGTTATTTTTAGTGGTTACCCGTGTTTGAGTAGACGCACCGTCTATTTATTAAACAGTATATATGAATCACTCGAGTAATGCGTTTTCGATTAGTTCACTAAAATATTTACATACCTAAATTCGATTATTGCATACATAATACTCGATTTGTGCGGTAAGTATTGAAAGTTATTTCTTTATATAGTTACCGAGGTAACATTAGCCGCAGTAATCGAGGGGTTTCTTGTTTATTTTCGCCTACCGGCCTTAATAATGAAATATGATTGATTAATAATTTTTTTAAGAAATCCGTCCCTTTCTTTAGAAATTGCTTTGTTTACGTTAGGATACGAAACAGTGCAGATATGAACATTTCGTGAGTCGGGGAAAGATTTACGTTTGTGAATTGTTCAACTGTGCTTGACCATCGACGCACTCACTGGTTTAGTCGGTATAAACAGGTCGGATCTAAAGATGGTTTCTCCTGCCAAGGGGCGCAGGCGTTTTTTAATAAGATTTTTTCAATATTTAGGCCGGTAGGCGAAAATAGATAAATATAATCATACTTATTATAAAACCCAGGTTGTGTGTGTGTGTTGTGTGTGTGTGTGTGTGTGTGTGTGTGTGTGTGTGTGTGTGTGTGTGTGTGTGTGTGTCTGTTCGTTTATATATTGGATCGGATTTCTTACATTTTTCAACCGATTTCAACAAAACTTCACAGGACTGCGTAAAATTACCTTGCGGTGGTTCTGACAGCACCAAAAATTGGAAAAACACAATTGTTTTTGAATGAAATCAATTTGAAAACACGATTAAGAGACAGCGCTGTCGAGAATGAAAGGGGGACAACTCATCTCAAATTATACTGATTATAAAACCCAGGCTGTTTGTGTGTGCGTGTTCGTTTATATATGGGATCGGATTTCCTACATTTTTCAACCAATTTCAACAAAACTTGATCTATCTCTTACTGTTACATCCCCGGGCAACGCCGGGCTCTACTGCTAGTGTTTGATAAATAAACAGAGCTTCTGCTCAAATATGATTACTCTTCTATTGTTCTCGCTCCTTAATAATGTTTTTCTTTTTTTCTTATTCTTTCACACTCAGTAACCCCTTGTGTCTTAGTGGCTTTATTGCCTTGCTTGGGGGAATATGATTAAAAAAAATGTACATACATAATTTTCTTTTTCTGTCTCTTTTTTTATAGCTTGCAAGAATAAAGTTGCCGACATTTTTGTTCTGCTTGATTCGTCTTCAAGTATTCGTATCGATGAATTCAAAAAGCAGATCAATTTTATCGAAGAAATTGTCAAGAAGTTCGACATCGGCCCTTTCAAAACTCGAATCGGAGTTTCCGTGTTTAGCCACGAATATTATTCAATACTCAAGTTCGACCAGACAAACGACAAACAAGAAATCCTAAAGATTATTCATAGCATCAAGTATCTTGGTGGAGGCACTGCTATTGGTAAAGCTCTCAGTGAAATGAGGTTGAATGAGTTTAATGCCAATTCTGCCCGGCCAGGAGTGGAAAAGATCGTCATTTTGTTCACAGACGGTCAGTCAACCGACGCCGACCAAGCTTCGTTCGAAGCGAAAAAGCTGAAGGAATCCAATGTGAAGATATTTGTCGTTGGAATAGGACCATTCATTGACCAAATGGAACTGGAAGATATTGCAAGCCGACCGTCTAAAGACTTTGTTCATACTTTCGATTCCTTTGATGATATGTTTGCGAAAGGTGGAATACTTTCAAGAAAAACTTGTACCGTAGACGGACAAATCTTTGTGAGAGAGCAGGAAGGTAAGTTTATATACGCTTAATAAGGGTCGGTTTATCCTTTAAGGTTATATAGATTTCTGCCTAGGTTTCAAGGACGGAGAAAATCTTTAGGTTAGTATAGGCTGCAGAATAGGGCCCAGGACCGGATAATGGTATAGCCTCCTATAGCTTGTAGCCTAGTGTTCAGGGACGGAGTATCATTTAGGGAGATATAGGCTGCTACCTAGAGCCCAGGGTCGAAGTATCATTTAAGCTAGAATAGGCTACAGACTTGGGCCCAGGTTCGGAGTATCAATTAGGCTACTATAGGAGGCAGACTAAGGCCCAGTACCAGATAATGCTGTAGCCTAGTATAACCTTCAGCCTAAGTTTCAGAAACGGAGTATCCTTTAGGCTAATATAGGCGGCAGTCTAGGGCCCAAGACAAATAATGCTATAGCTTTGTATAGCATTCAACCTAGGTTTCAAGGACGGAGTATCTTTTAGGCTGGTATAGGCTGCAGACTAGGGCCCAGGATAGCCTGCATCCTAAGGTCAAGGAACGGAGTAACCTCTGGGCTGCTATAGGCTGCTTCCTAGGGCCCAGGTTCGGAGTATCATTTAGCTATTGTAGGCTTCAGACTAGAACCCAAGACCAGATAATGCTATAGCCTAGTATAGCCTGAAGCCTAAAGTCAAAGGACAGAGTATCCTTTAAGTTGGTATAGGCTGCTGCCTCGGGCCCAGAATCGAAGTATCATTTAAGCTTGTATAGGCTGCAGTCTAGGGCCCAAGACCGAATAATGCTATAGCCGAGTATAGCCTGGAATCTGAGATCGTGGGACAGATTATCCTTTGGGCTAGTATAGGCTTCTGTCTAGGGCCCAGGCCCGTAGGATACTTTAGGCTTATATAGTATGGAGCCTAGGGCCCAGAGACGGAGTATTCTTTAGGTTGGTATAGGCTGCTGTGTTAGGCCCAGAGACCGGCTGTCTAGTAAGGGATTGCAGCCTATAGCCCAACACCAGATTATCCTGTAAGCTAGTATGGACTGAAGTCTGGGGCCCCAAGCTTTTATAAAAGCTCAAAGTTGACTGAAAGCAAGGAGCTGGAAGAGCATTCCACAAGCGAGAAGTGCGAGAGAAGAAAGTGTTAGGATAGAACTTACGGTTACATCTAGCTAGGTCTGGATTATCCTTTAAGCTAGTATAGGCTGCAGCCTAGGGCCCAGGGCTGGATTATCCTTTAGGCTCGTATAGGCTGCAGCCTAGGGCCCAGGGCTGGATTATCTTTAGGTTAGTATAGTCTGCAGCCTAGGGCCCAGGGCTGGATTATCCTTAAGGGTAGTATAGTCTGCAGCCAAGGGTCCCACAAGCTTTTATAAAGCAATGATTTTTAAATTTGTAGATGTGATAACTTCTAAAGTGTTTCATAAACTGAAATAATAATATAACAATATTTATTTTGAATTTTTCTTTGTTGCAATGCTGTTTTTCAAAATCTGTTGTTTAATACGGCTTTGTTGAAATCTGTGCCAATTTGGATTGCAATAAATAGTAAAATAGTAATACTTCTTTGTAGAATAACAATACAATAAACAGCACTTACCGGCGTAAGGGTCCCAGCTAGCGTCCAGCTGGCAGACAAAAATAAAGCAGGTTGTAACTCAATACAAACCCTGCAAACTAACTGATGAATCAAGCTGGTATTTATATAGAAATACCTCCACTCAGGTACCAGCAGCCAATCACAGGTCAAGCAATGGACTATCCCACTTTAGCACAATGAGATGCTCCATGGCACCATAAAGAGCTCTCTTTCTAAAGGTTGGATTATTATTCACTCAGCTTGCTCCACAACTGAGTGTTTATCTCGACCACGTGATTTTTCTACATTCTTAAAGAATATTTTTATTGACAAACGGTACATAGCGATTCTAGTTTATTTGAAGAATTTGCCATGACTTTACTTCAAGATTTGTAAATGTCGTTAAAATATATCACGTGTGGAAAATATTCAAGACTAGTGTGAGCTAGTTAGAGGGCGTGGTTCCGTTTGATGGAGCCTCCGTAATTTCATTAGCCTAGAGGTCCCAAAAGCTCATAATCCGGCCCTGTGTTTAACCAATTTTTAAAAAAATCCTTTTAACGCTTTCTCGTAATGTTTCGCACTGTTGCAACATTCAACTTGCCCTACGGCCTAGGCAGGCTATAAAGACTAGTTTACCCTGCTATTTTACTTATAACAAGGTTTATTAATGTTTTAAAAAAAAGTTCCATTTGTAGGAAAACAAAGACTACAAACTAAAAAAATATTTTTAAATATCAGGCCATTTCAGGACACATGTGACCCACATTTTCCTTTTCTTAAAAATAATGTGATTTACGATATATTCTTTAGAAAGATAATGGAGTGGTTTTCATTACGTGAGCTATAGTTTTTTGCAATTCAGAATTTTCCTTCTCATAGATTGGATGATATATAAATCTAGATAGACCAAGCTACCTCGATATTTTATCTATAGCAATATTTATTAACTTTTCCATTAGTATGAAGCCATGGGCTTACTGTTTAGAAATTTTTTTAAATACCATGTCTCTTCAGTATAAATCATGGCTCTGCATAGGTTTTGTGTTTCTTTGTTAACGCTGTGATCATTTTTTTGAGGGGGGGGCCTATGTGGGGAAGGAGACTCATTACAGAAAGTGCACACACACTTTATATTATGAAAAAAAAATGATAGTAAGACCGACTATTAAAAAAAGACTTCTCTTATAAGGTAAACGGAGTTACTTCCCCTGGTTAGCAAAATTTTATTTAATTATCATTGAATAGAAATTGATGGAACGGAACTTTAGCCTGTATTTTTCGGGAAAAAAAATATGGACGTCATACCAGATTTCCCTTTGTACAATTTATTAATAGATTGACTCGTTTCAATGTTGATATTTAAAAAAAGAAAAAAAGAAAAAAAGAGAGAATTTGTAAGATATAGCATAGTGATTAAAACAGTTCTTTGCAAAGTTCTCTCCCTTGAATCAAAAACTGAGTATATATTGGGCGCATAAAATATATTTACGCTAAAAGCAACATGACTCAAAAAGACTGAGAATTATTCAGAACGATTTTATATATATATAATTTATTCGAAAATTATGACAGATATGTTATAAAATCACTACAAACATAGCCATTTTATTTCAACACTTGTGGTGTCTTACCAAATGGTGTTGAATAGAGAAAGTGCACGCGCACACACATTCAACACTATCACTTGATAAGACACCAGAAGTATCGAAACAAAATGAATATTTTGTAGTAATTTTATAATATATTTATGTTATAATTGTCGAATAAATTATATTTGGTCTACTCTATATTGAGCACTCTTTTAAGAATAGTATTTTTGGTTATTGGAATTTATTCGGTATACACCAGTCCTATACACAGTTTCGATTCTTTTTGGAGAATGGAGATTCTCTACGAAATTTCTCGCCGCTAAGTGTAATTAATACTGTTTATCTAAAAAAAAACCAGATCATTTACTTAAATAAATTGTATCTATTAAAATAATGTATAAACAGCATATATATATATATATATATATATATATATATATATATATATAGAGAGAGAGAGAGAGAGAGAGAGAGAGAGAGATCAAATATGGATCAGAATCGGACAGAATAATAGGGAACAAATAGGACACGTTGATAACTGTTACATCATTTTTGCCACTTACTAGGGCCCTATACTTTCGGTGATCTATCAGGCTTCAAGTGCATTTGACTTGTCAAGCAGCGTTCGTGGATATAATTCTAACTCAATTCGGCTATACAGGATTCGAAAGATTATATATATATACACACACAGATAGATAGATAGCAGAGTGAAAGAGATAGATAGATAGACACACACACACACATACATAGATAGATAAATAGATAGATAGCAGAATGAAGCAGATAGATAGATAGATAGATAGATAGATAGATAGATAGATAGATAGATAATATTAGTGGTTAATATACACATACATATATATACATATATCTAAAATATATAAATATATATACATACATACATATACATACATATATATATATATTTAAAAAAATAATTCCAAGAGGATAGAATCTAGGTAGAACTCAATGTCCAGGACAGAGTAAGGATATAATAAAAAAGGCTTAAACATTAATATTCCATGGTCATACTTTATTCCATTGGAATCGTAAATACGATCCAATTCATCAGACCTACAAATTCAAAAGAACACAGAAAAAATAACTCCGGGAATAAAATAACATAAAATTTAGTGAGAGTCTATGTATGAGAGTGTGGGACAAATGCGGGAGTAAATGAAAGCTATAGGGAGGGGTAACAGACGAGAGGCGAACAGGAAGGTCTAAAGGTGAAGGGGGGATTAAAATTTAACAGAATGAAGTTTTAAAGAGGGGAGTCAAGGACGGCTTAAGAGAGCGAGATCCAAATAAATATGAATGTTCTCGGAAGTCTAATACATTTCTGAATCGCTGACCTAAAATAAATTAAAGATCGATGTGATATGTCCCGGAAACGGATATATTTGTTCGAAGTGGCAAAGTGGTTTTGGACTACTGTAACCGAGTAGGAAAATCTAGCAGGTAATCGTAATGGACTGGTCCTCGTCGTAGTGGTAGGCAATAGGCGTAGGCAATAGGCGTCGTCCAACATCAGTTCTGTATTTATGGCTGATACCAGCCAATCATATTACTGTGAGGGTGAAACCAGGTGTATGCACATTCATTACACCAGTGTATATATATATATATATATATATATATATATATTCGAAATTATTAAAACAGTATCTGTCTATATTTCTGAGATGAGGTATTATGTACATTATTTACATCCTCATCTTTGTCGCCATATATATTACAACGTTTCGCTCCGGCCTTCTTCAGGTAGTTGGAATGTTGAACTGAACCCTTTATGTCGCTCACGGACACATAGCACAGTGGGTAAAGGCGTTGGAGAACTTGGAGAGGGAAATTAACAGAAGATAACTGATAACTGACATCCATTAGACATGGCACGTGGAACTAGAACAGTGAGCGAAATAAAGGGTTCAGTTTGACATACCAACCAACTGAAGAAGGCCGGAGCGTACTACGGCCAAAACGTTGTAATAGCTATGTCGACAAAGATGAGGACAGTAGTCCAAATAATGTAAATAATGTTATTAAAACAAGGTTTACAGATATGTACTTGCTAAAGACTGGGTAGCAAAAACAATATAAATTTAGTACTTATTTGCCTAGTTGTTAAGAGCCTGAAATTGTGAGTCTTTTTTTTTCTACAAGCTCAAGGAGCAACAAGAGGAAGATTGACTTTCCAGCCTAGTGACTGTTTATTCTCGTGAATATTTATAATTGATATCTCTCGCTATATAGGCATTACTATTTATTTTAGGAGATTAAAAATAATGGCATGTTTTTCTTTCTTTCCTTTTTTTTCTTTACAGTTTGCAACGCCAGTCGAATGACAGATGTCATGTTTATGGTGAGCAATAACCATTTCGGTAAAAAGAAAACCAACCGCATCCTGAAGGCGGCGGCCGAGGTGGTCAGAAGAGTTGGAAGCCGTGGAGCGTTTAACTTCGGAGTCCTCTTCGATGAATGTCTCCCTAAACAAGCCGTGAAAATCGGATCGATTAGAGAAGAGAGACAACTCGTTAATGAAATCGTCAACTTCCGATACGGATCGATCGCCTCGCTCATTCGTCAGCTGCAGATAGATGAGTTTTCACCCTGGAGCAATGTACGTCATGCCGGGCTTCTTTTCTTGGATGACACCGTTGACCTTCAAGACCCACAGATAAAAATGGAAATCAAACGCGCTGTTGCAAAAGGGATTCAGTTTTATCCGGTAGTCATTGGCGAAGATGTTGACATTGACCGGGTGGAGAACATCATAGCGCCAAAAGAACGTATCATTTTTGTTAAATCATATGATGATATCCCATCATCACTTCCTTTTGGCTTCACTGACAATCTTTGCAAACCTGAAGTATTTAAACCAGAAATATCATAGAATACGGAACCTTTATTTAGCATTAATTTAAAATAGATGTATATATATATTTTCTTAATATTTACACTTTGGAAGCTCTATTCTCGAAATTCGTTCTCCCAAGTGATGTTGTTAAACCCTCAATGCGTCACGTTCTTTATTTCCATATTTGATTCACACTGCTTCAAGTTTATATTTCTTGATTTCAAACGTTTCTTGTCATGTCATTCACTTGCCAGTATATATATATATATATATATATATATATATATATATGTGTGTGTGTGTGTGTGTGTGTGTGTGTGTGTGTGTGTGTGTATGTATATATATATACTAGGATTTTGGTCATAATTCATCAGATCCCCATTTTCATCTGATGAACTAGGACCAAAATGCCAGTCCTAAGGAAATGAATTATAATCCCATGAGCCCTTAAAGTTGTCTGTTTCATAATATAATTAATAATTGTTCTGTTTTTACATTGAGCTCTCTTTTATGATATCCTCCTTGGAATTATGCATACGGATTACCAAATAAATTTATTAACTAAATAACTATATATATATATATATATATATATATATGAATGAAAATATATTTCTTAGTCAATGCCGATGCGTTTCGTCAATTCAACATTTAAACTTGCCTTGGTAAAATCGGTTTGATTAAACGCGTCAGCAATGACTAAGAAATATATTTTCCAATTGTTATCTATCTATCTATCTATAATATATATATATATATATATATATATATATATAGAGAGAGAGAGAGAGAGAGATTTCTGATACACCCCATATATATATATATATGTATATATAAATATATATATATATTGATAATATTATTGGTCAATATATATATATATATATATATATATATATATATAAATTCCCAAGAGGATAGAATCCAGGTAGAACTCAATGTCCAGGACAGAGTAAGAATATAATATAAAAGGCTGAAACACTAATATTCCATGGGTATAATTTATTACATTGGAATCGTAATCAAGATCCAATTCATCAGACCTACAAATACAAAAAATTATATATAAACACACACACACACACACACACACACATATCTCTCTATATATATATATATATATATATATATATATATATATATATATATATATATATATATGGTTTATCAGAAATATTTTTACAAACTTTAGGGCTAGGTTCTTTACATGAAAACAAGGTTGGTAACTCGGCTGCCCTCGACCTGAATCTGATATTGCCATGCAGCCTGGCGTCCATTACCATTCGCCTAGCCGTATGTAAAAGATGACATCTTACTGCTTACGATATGAACATCCTGGCATTGTTAAAAAGAATACTTCTCAATTAACTCACTACTACACACTTTAAACGTTGACCTCAGACTAATCACAATTGTACGCGAATGACAAATGTATCCTAGTCTAAATGACAACTCAACACCGTCTACCGTAAACTTTCTTGAAACTTAATAACTCTAAACCCAAGAATTTACGAACATATGTTTCTAAAAATATTTTTGTTAAATATGATAGATGCTATATATATATATATATATATATATATATATATCGCCTAAACTTACTTAAGGGTTGTAATTGTCTGATCTACTAATTTATATATATATATATATATATATATATATATATATATATATATATATATATATGCAAGTATAGGATGGGGTATACAGAAGAAATTCCCTAACCAACAAATTCTTAATATATATATATATATATATATATATATATATATATATATATAGTTTTAAAAACAGGGAAACCATTGATTTTAATTTTAAAAGTCTCTAGGGCCCTTTCAGCCAACATCTCATCAGGAGACAATCGTTGGATTAGCGAAATGAATAATAGCGATATTGAAGAGCAAAAAAGAGGGAGAAACACACTAAAATAACGAACAAGTATATATACTTGTAACGAGGGAAGGGATCGTGTAAATAAATTAATTAGCGAGGGACAGTTTATATATATATATGTATATATATATATAATTATTTTTATAAAAAAAATTATAACATAAGTATGTTATAAAATCACTACAAAAATAGCCATTTTGTTTCAACACACTCTGTGTCTTATCAAGTGATGGTGTTGAAAATAAAATAAAAATCTATAAATATTTTTATTTTATTTTCAATAGCCATTTTGTTTCAACACACTCTGTGTCTTATCAAGTGATGGTGTTGAAAATAAAATAAAAATCTATAAATATTTTTATTTTATTTTCAACACCATCACTTGATAAGACACAGAGTGTGTTGAAACAAAATGGCTATTTTTGTAGTGATTTTATAACATACTTATGTTATAATTTTTTTATAAAAAATAATTATATCTGCTCTACTTTTGTATTGAGCACTCTTTTAAGAATAGTAATTGTTGGTTATTGGAATTCATTCCGTGTATACCAATTATATACTTTGATATATATATATATATATATATATATATTATAAATTAACTGCTTCAAAATATGGTTAATGCTCAGTAAATTTACATTGAGCACTATTTTATAAAAATAAAATATCAATAAGAACACCGGATTATATATCTTACTGTTCTTTCTTTTTATATATATATATATATATATATATATATATATATATATATATATATATATATATATGTGTGTGTGTGTGTGTGTGTGTGTGTGTGTGTGTGTGTGTGTGTATTTAAAAATACGAGATCAGGGATTTACCTTGTGAGCTCTCATCAACACACACACACATATGCACAACATTCTGTTGTTTTAAAATAACTAAAATTACATTTCTATGATGCCATCAAATGTGCCCAATGCATAAAAATTGATATTTCATACATTTCATTGTAGTGGACTCTTCTGGTAACGTAAAAAATTTTGTTATTTTAGAATAACAGAAAGTTCTATTTCTATGATGTCGTCAGAAGTTTCCAATTCATAAAAATTTTATGCATCTCCATGTAGTGGACTTACCCGTTAATGTATAAAGTTTGACAGAAACAAAAAAAAATTAGTTGACATTTCACCGATCTCCATCTTGTCTTTCATATATGTAAATAACCCATTTTTTTTTCAAATTCATAAATCAGAACGAGTTCATTACTCTTATTTTTCAATTTCGCCATCTTTGTTTTCAATTCCGCCATCTTTGTTTTAAATTCCGCCATCTTCGTTTTCAATTCCGCCAACTTCGTTTTCAATTCCGCCATCTTTGTTTTCAATTCTGCCATCTTTGTTTTCAATTCTGCCATCTTCGTTTTCAGTTCCGCCATCTTTGTTTTCAATTCCGCCATCTTTGTATTCAATTCTGCCATCTTCGTTTTCAGTTCCGCCATCTTTGTTTTCAATTCTGCCATCTTTGTTTTCAATTCCGCCATCTTTGTTTTCAATTCCGCCATCTTCGTTTTCAATTCCGCCATCTTTATTTTCAATTCCGCCAACTTTGTTTTTAATTTCGCCAGCTTTGTTCTTTGTTTTACATTGTTCATTTACTATTGTTTTAGAATTAAAAAAAAAATCCTGCCTATCAAGTATCAATGGATGTAAAACTAATTTCGTGAAGATGATGTATTTTTATTGATTTTTTTTCTTTTTTTGGCATGTATCCTAAATCTAAACATGTCTTCCTACAAAAAATAAACGTTCGTTGTTTTTTTTTATTTCTGTTGTAACATTTACTTTTAAAAAGCCTGAAAATGACTGAATATTTTTGTTACGAATGTTACAAAGAAAAAAAATGAAGAAATAAATTATATTTTATCTAAAAAACTTTCTGTTCATTGTTTTTCTTTCTTCTCTTGCGGGGTTCAGGCAGAAATGTTGCTTATATGAAACTAAGAATAAAAATAAAAATAGAAAGAAAAATAAAAAACGAAAAAATTGAGAGAGCCGTGGGGTCCCATGTCTGGGGCTGACATCAGCTGTATGTATTATGTTAGGGAGCTTAGGAATTTGTCAATACATTATTAATTACTAGCAGTAGAATCCGGCGTTGCCCGGGGATATAACAGTAAGAGATAGATCAAGTATCGACCATCATAAAGACTGAAAAATAAAATTGGCAAAGATTATTGTTTAAGGTTGACGGACACGCATGTCTTAATTAGTTTTTTTTTTTTTTACGAATTGGTCAAACTCAAACAAAAACATTGTTTTCAATCGTTATGAGTCTACCGATTGAATAGAATTTTATTATAAACAATTGTCTTGTAAATGGAATTTTTAAAGCATTCTGAATGTAAAAATAAAGTAAAAAGTGTGCAAGACAATAAGAAACACTACCTGACAAAAAAAAGTGAAGTTTTGTTGAAATCGGTTGAAAAACGTAGGAAATTCGATCCCATATATAAACGAACACACACACACAAACAAACAACCAACCTGGGTTTTATAATAACTCGATATTAGTTGTCCCCCTTTCATTCTGGCGACAGAATCGTGTTTTATTGTATTTTCAAATTAATTTCGTGCAAAAACAATTGTGTTTTTCCAATTTTTGGCGCTGTCTGAACCACTGCAAGGCAATTTTACGCAGTCCTGTGAAGTTTGTTGAAATCGGTTGAAAAATGTAGGAAATCCAATCCCATATATAAACGAACACACACACACAAACAATCTGGGTTTTATAATAAGTATAACTCGATATGGGTTGTCCCCCTTTTATTCTCGTCAGCGATGCCTCTTAATCGTGTTTTCAAATTGATTTCGTGCAAAAATAATTGTGTTTTTCCAATTTTTGGTGCTGTCAGAACCACGGCAAGGTATTTTTACGTAGTCCTGTGAAGTTTTGTTGAAATCGGTTGAAAAATGTAGGATATCCGATAAACCGTATCAACTAAAAATTGAGCGGAGAATTATGTTATTCTTGTTAAACACATTTGTCTGTCACTTATTGTAAGGTAGGTACGCAAAAAAGACTCTTCGGCAGAGATTTTAGTCACCGAAATGATCAGTAAAATACCAAATACATTAAATACAGTTATCTATAAACTATTAAAAATAAAAAAGTATAGCTTA